AAATACCGCGCTCTTGAAAGAGCCAAGTGGTTCTTGTCAAGGGTTTTTCCTGCACTCCTTTGTCCTCTTTTCTGGTTGCGTCGAAATACCTCACTTGAACATCTTTACAACCGTTTGCCCTTTAACAAGGTTTTAGAGTCCCAGCTTGTTGCCAAGTTGCAAACCACGATAAGGACTTTCAGGAGTCCAGTAAATCGTTGCGGTAAGTCAAAGAACTGCATTCAAGTCGTGCCAAAAAGGGTTAGTACACTAATACGACGGCGTATTAGCGCCCTTGTTAATAGAAGAAAAAAGAAGTGAATTTTTACCAGAATACTCAAAATGAGATTGTCAGACTTTAAAAAAACAAAACAAATTCTGAGCTCCAAAGGTTTTAATATTGCTAGAAAAAAAACTCCAGAATTTAGATTTTAATCTGAGAAATATTTAGAAAAAAACATTTCTGAGCTCAAACAGTATAAAAAAATGCTAGAAACAAACTCAGATTATTTTTTTCTTATTAAGAAATTTTCTCCCCCCCCAAAAAAAGTAAAATGTCAAAAAAATGTAAAGTTTTTTTACTGGAAAATTTCTATATTCCGCGTTTGGAGGAAATTTCTGACATTTGAAGCTCACAAACTTTTAAAATTTTTTATTTCTGAGATTAATCAAAAAAATGTAGATTTTTTTCCAGCACGTCAGTTTCTCAAACTCAGGAATTTTCAAGAATTTTTCCAGGAAATTTCCGAGATTAATCTCAGAATTTTTTTCTCTTAAATATTTGACTTGCCTGAAGAAAATTTTAAACTGATAAATCTTTTTCTTTTTTTTTTTTTTTGCTATCTACAATGGTCCTATTAGCTGACATAAATTAAAGTGTTATTCATCACGGCGCAGGTTTATTCCTGCAGCAGGCTCGGTTCTCTGGACTGATGCTCTACTACTAACTGGAACAGAGGTGGAAACTCTCCTCCTCCTGCTGCCTGGTAGTCTGTTTGTCCATCCCTATGTCTAAAGTGAGCAGGCTTTCAGAAACACTGCAGTCATCGTCCATATATGGCCTCAGTGTTGGGAAATGAACGGAGGTTTGTTGGGCAGCCTTGCTGGGAACAGAATGATGTGTGTTTCCACCTGAAACTTTGACATTTACGCCACATCCAAAACCCAGATTGTGGACGCGAGCGGCATTCACAATCTGGCTTGTTTACCTCCGGACTGACATCATGACATAATTGGCGCTCGTTTTTTTTGTTGTTGTTGTTTTGGTTTTTTTGTTGTTTTTTTGTTATACCTCTGCTTTCTGTCTCGCGCACACAAATGAGACGTCTGAGCCCAGCCAGACATCGCAGCTGACCTGAGACCAGACGAGGCCATATGAACCCAATTTTCTCCCACAGAAAACCCCCTTCCTCCCACTCCACCAGGAGATGCAACAACAACCAAAAAATGCATGCTGACGTGTGCAGAGAGGAAGGAAATAAATAAAACACAAACAAGCGGGAGGCAGCGCGGTTAGATGAAACGCCGGTCGGAGAGCAGGCCGCTGGAATTTGGCACATCTGTTGCTTTGGCACACGATCCTGACTCTGAAGGTTTGCTGCAAACCAACACACATATATCAATTTTTTTTTTTTTTTTTTTTACAAACAACACAGTCCAAAAGTATTGTACTAAAGGTGTTCTAAAGAAATAAAAGCCCCAACTTAAGAAAAATAAATAAATAAAAATTGGTCACGAATGATTGTGTCAAACTATTTACGTTTGACACGAACACTTAATAAACCCAATAAATGAACTGGGATAAATTTAACTGGATTACTTGTGACCAATAAAAGCAATGCATTTCAGTGGCTCTGATTTGTCAGTGTGTGTAAAAAGCCCGGGCTTAAATATACTTTTATTGCAGTTGCATAACATTACGCTAAAAGACTTCAAATCCAATCAGAATTTCAGATTTAATAATATCCCCACTATCGCACACCTGGGTCGTCTCTTCTATCCGGTTCATCCCACGTTTAGATTTTGTGCTTTTGAACCATTTCTGTGTTCGTCTGGATTTTAATCATTACCTTCTTGACAGACCCAATTAGGACCCACTTTCAGTTTCCCCAGTAAAGACCACCAGATTTCTTTTACGACGCCTCCAAGACTTCATGACACAATCCAGTCTGACAACATTTCCCAGAGAAGAGAAACCGGCCCAGAGCATCACACATCCTCTGCCATAACTTTACACTTTGCATGAGGTTCTTTTCCATTGAATAATTATTTTGTTTCTCATAAACCCGACTGAACATTTTTTTTTTTTTAAAAGCCATGGCCGTGTGTTGGTATCGTACATGTATCTTCTCCACAGTTTGACCAAGTTCCTGTTGCTTCAAACTTCAATTATTTCCCTGACTGTAGATGTGGTTGAGATTAGGGTAGTTCAGTTTTGCTTGGAGCAATTTCTTGAAGATCAGATCATCAGCCGTGATTGTTGTCTTACTTACACCATTTTGAAGACTTCCTGGCATAGTTAAGGGCACCAAAATTAATGTTTATTGATCCTCTTATCAACTTAAAGAGCATAGTGCGAATTAAAAAAAGTTTGTTGAAAGCACCTTTTTCTCTCATCGCTGACTTTCTACACATTTTAGCTGCTTATACTGTGACTCCTGAAGCACCAACAGAAGGACAGGCAGGTTTTTATTTATTTTTTTTCAAAATAAAAGAAGACACTAACGCTCTGCTCATCAAAACTGCAGAAACAACTCATTTTGATTGATTACTGAGGAACCCTGGTGATAAAAGACCCACAATCTGGTGTTGGCTGCCTGGTGTCAACTCCTGATTTAAAAAAATATTAATAATTTTTTGTTTGTTTGTTTGTTTCTACTAATTAAAAATCCTAAAAGTGAAAATTGAATTTTTCTACATCTTTTTGCAAAAAACCTGATGAAAACTTTTCACCTTCGGATTCCAAAACAAAGCAACACCAACAAATGATGACAGATGAATTTCTTTGCTATTATTATTTTTTTATTTCCACTTATTTATTTGGTAAAAACAATTACAGGTTGCTGTGTCTTCATAAGGACTCGAGAAGCTCCTAATCTTGCATTGCTGAGCTCAGAACTTCATTTCTGAGTTGATTCGTTCACCAGTCGTCCAACATTTAACAGACTTCACTAAAGTGCGATGGAAAACACCGTTATGAAACGTTTGTTTCATAAGGGCCGTTGCACTTCTTCTCTTGCTTTTTGGTCTGTTTCAGTTGCCGTACGGTCACAAAGTGCGGCCTTACGTGACCCGGTGAGCCGTAGCCTGCAAGCACAACAAACATTCAGTGTTCACTCCTTCCAGTCTTTCCTAGAGCGTTCTTTAATTTTGGATCCCTGAACCGTTATTGTCACCCTGGTATGAGTTATTGTATGTTTTCCTGCGCCGTTACCCTGAGACGACCTCCGTAGACAGCAGTGTTTGCCAGTAAGCGCGCAGTTTGCCCCAGTGTGCTCACCTCTCAGTTTATTTTTCTACCAGTAAATTACATGGACCGAAAGTGAATCACGTTTGGACAAAAATAACAAAACCGGCAGAAATCACAGAAAAAAAAACAACAAAAAAAGCAAAAACCTGCTTTGCTGCCTGGTGATTATAAGTGTTTTGTAAACAGCGATGCCCTCAGATCTCGCCGAGTTTTGTCTGGAATTCCCCTCATACTCCTGTAATGATGCAGAACATGCTGAGGCCCGGAGACGAGCCTCACTTCTCTGCCCCAGCTTTGATGAACCGTTAATGTAGAGCGCCTCACATGGCAGGCCAACACCAAAGCAGTGCAAAATTGTAAAATGGAAGGAAGATGATATGTAGGTTCGCTTTTCTTTTTAGAAATAAAAAGCTGAAAGCAGTTCTTTTCTGAGTTTCGTCAGCCCCCCTTGACTCAGATTGCTCAAAAAATAATGAGCGTGTAGCGACAGTGGAGAGGAAAAACTCTCCTTTAACAGGAAGAAACCTCCAGCAGAACCAGAACCGGGCTGGAGAAAGTGAACAGAAGCACCGAGCCAGGAGTCCTTTCTATGTTAAAGAAGAGGATACAAAAAACCCAGAGGGAACATGAAGTTAAAACTGAACTAGCAACAAATAATGAAAATTGGAGAGTAGTAGGAAAACATAGCAAAGACAAAAAGTGGTAGCTATGTCCTCTAGCAGCCTGAGCCTCTAGCAGCGTTAGCAGAGATGGCTCAGGATGACCTCTGGGTTTATTTGTGACAAGGAGAATCTTTGTTTCTATTCTGGATTTACCAAGGAGCCGACAAAGAAAAGCTAAGATAGGAGAAATACGATCTCCCTCTAATTTTCATCAGAGCTCTTGCTGCAGCATGTAGGATCAGCTGAAGGCCTTCAGCTGCATTTTCTTTTGGACTTTCTGACAGCGAAGAGTTAAAGTAGTCCAGCCTCGACGTAACGAGTGTTTCAGCGTCGCTCCTGGTCGAGACCTTTCTACTTTTGGCAACATTCTGCAGACGAAACAAGGACAAACCTGAAAACTTGCTTCAGATGGGATTTAAATGATTTATTGTGGTCAAAAATAACACAGAGATTCTTCACTTCAAGCCAATTTTAATAACATCCTGATCAACTGATTGACTAAGCAGATTGTTTTTTTCAAAGATTCTGATTCAAAGACGACGACGTTTCTCGATTTTCCAAGAAATGAAATGAAATCTCCCAGATTTTCATGTCTTTAAGAGATGACTGTGATTCACTTAACTGGTTGTATCCATCAGATGTTCACATCCAGTCCGACCTGCTTAAAGCAGAAGAGGAGCCAAAAGTATCGGAGACATGTAACAAAGCAGTTTCACTGAGCGTTTATTGAGGAGTGTCAGAATTCAAATGAAGATTTCCATTTTGTTCCTCGGTAAAATATGTGGAGAAACCATGAATCGTTTCGCTTTGACCTTGAAATGATGCTCTGCTTTGCTCGGCTTGCTTTGTCTGCTTCCTTTGACTCTCTCTGTGCCTTTCCCCGTCCACAGCTGCTCAACATGGTGTCGGTGTCCGAGAAGCGATGGCGAGCGCGCTCAAGAGGAGCCGACGCCGACGAGAGGTTCGCCAGTGGCGACAGCGCCGACTGCGACGACGAGGACGAGTGCGCCGAGGTGTCGGGGCTGGGGCCTCCTCCGAGACGCAAGCGGCTACGGATCTTCACAGGTCAGACGCACTAAAGGCACCGCCATGACGACAGAATACGCTGGACGGCAACAAGGAGTTATCGCGATAGGTGATAATATTGGTTTGGAGGCGATGTGTTGAACCGTCGCACTCATTTATCGGAAATTGGATTCATAGTTACGACACGGTCGGCTGTTTCCTCGCAGTCTGAGGTGAAATCAGGTTCTTGTTTTAAGTTTCAAGTCCTGAAATTATCTCTGTTTTCTAAATGTCAGCACAACGAGAGATAATTTTTTATCATGATTATTTCTTTACGGTCTGGAAAACGCATAATCCTCCCCCTGTGCTGTCAACTTTCAGATATAAAAGTGCTGCCACTTTTTGCGCGTCGTCTATCTGTCCCGTTTTCAGCTGTAGATAATAACAACAATAAAAAAGGTTTGAACTGCTGCAAGAAAGAAGATGAACCCAGAAGATGAAAGGAGTGAGTTCGATTTGCCGACATGAATCCAGAGCAGCTGAGCAGTGGGAGTGCTCCTCCAGTGGCGACGGTTTGGGTCTGCCAGGCCCGGGAGCGTCGGGTCGGGGGCGGAGGGAGAGGAACCGAGGGTTCACCCAGAAGGCCGTGAGAGTCCGACGCCCTGTCTCGCGTCGCTGCTGGCCTCGGCGCGGAGTCACCACACCGCCTGCCTTGACTTACAGGTCTAAAGCTCCGCTTTAGGCTCTGATCTGATCTCTTGTGAGAGCCGTGAATCGAGCCCGTTTTGTGCGTGGCTCTCGTGAGCCGCTCTGCAGACCCTGAGCAGTCCACCCCGCTCGCTGGCAGAGACCGTGGCCGATAGCTTGCGATGACTTGGCACAAAAACGCTGACCTCGCTCGGTTCCCTTTTGGTCAAAACGGGCGGGGGCTGGAGTTCAAAGGTCAACCTGTAGAGCATGAGGCCTAATGGGCTCCCTGTCTGTGCTCCGCTCCTCTGAGATGGACGAGCCGGATCTGGTTTCACAAAACCCCCGCACGCACACACACACACACACACACACGCACGCACGCACGCACGCACGCACGCACACACACACACACACACACACACACACACACACGTGTTTTACATGCTGGAGTTGGGGAAGGAGGGAAAAGGTGGTGGAAGCCACAACAACAAGGTGCAGACAGGACGGACACATGGCTGGGACCCCGACACAGCTTCCTTGTCAACCTGCTGACCACACCGACCTTGTTCCCAAACAGGCGCGATGATTGATCTCCCCTCGGCCATGAGCGTCTCATAACTGACCCCGCTCACACATTCACACACAGATGCACACGTGCTTCCCCCGCCGACCAATCGGAGCGCCCGGTTAAACATTCTCCACAGATTCCAGGCCAGTGCAGCTATTCCAGGACGGGGGACCCCCCGTGCAGCAACAGCCCCTAAAGAGAGACCTGCAGTCAGGCGCTGAGCTGCGTCTCACACCGTTTTAGCTTTTTCTGTGTTTCGCAAGAAAGCCTTTTGTTTACTGATTTTTTTCAACCTTCCTATAATAAAATGGGCTAAGCTTTTGTTTGTTGTTGTTTTTTTTTGTTTGTTTGTTATTTGTTGGTCAAAATGAAAAGTATTACAGTTTCAGTTCCTTCCAGCCACACACTTCCTGATGGTTCAGACACAGATGGCATAAGATGTTTTCCTTAAAGTATGCATAAAAAAGTTGCATATAAAACGTTTCTTCAGAAGTTGCTTTAAATGAGAAAATGTATGTAATTTTTGAAATCAATGAGTCTGGAACATATTTTAGATGAAGCCTAAAAGAATCCGACCCGGCCCGAACCCACAGGCGTTGTGTCTGAACCCGATCCGACTAGTTAGCTTCAATTATGGACCGGAGGCAGAAGTTTAACCCTACTGAGATTTTACCGCTTTTTGTTTTCAGACCACCGTTTCTGCAAGCAGTGTAACTTCTAGCTTTTGTTCAGCGTTTTCCAGCTCCATGTTGCCGCTCGTTGTGACCCCAGAGTGCAAATCATCTGGGATGTGTGATTGACAGGAGCGCAGCAGCGTGGAGCCACGCCCACATGCGCTTCAATTGTCACAGTCTAGTGAACTTCTGCATCCTACTTGCTTTGTTTCTATCCTCAACAGGTTTTTTTGTTTGTTTGTTATTTTTAATTTTTTGTTCTGCTGAGGGAACAAATGGCCATTTGGGCTGTACAGCTTGCAGACCCCTGGTTGAGATCAGACCATATTCATGTATGAAAATGGTCCTGTCAAAATCCAGACATACATTTTGACAAGAATATGTGGCAAGACTTGAAAATTTAACGTCCAGACGATCTCCGTCCAATCTGAGGGATCCTGGGGTATTTTGCAAGCTTGTGCAAAACATTTCAGTCAGTAGCTGGTAGTGACATAAACCATAACATATTGACTCAGTGGTACAACAACCACAAAAAAAAAAAATAAATAATTTTCCTTTGAACGTTTCTTTTTTACGCTACTTTATGTAGCTCTATCGAATACAATCCCCAAAAAACGTCAGATTGTGGTTTATAATTTGATCAAATATAATATGGACTCTTCTACAACACACATCAAACATACTGGCTGAAGTTTTTAGAGTTTGCTGACCTCTGTTAGATCTGCTAAAATCAATCATTTGTTTCGCCCGTGTGACGGAGTCAAATCGCCACGGACACAGTCAGATGATTTACACGGATTGTCGCTTGCACGTTGTTTCAAACAAGCTGATGTAATGTCAGCTGACTCCTTTTCCAACTTTAGCGTTGGGTGGCTATTTCCAGATCCCCACATTACTCTCCACAGAGTAATGTATTGGCAGTGCTCTGGACTCCATTTTCTTCCCCTAAATCCATTAATCTTGGATTCCACGTGCCTCTGATAAGGGCTCACCTGTGTTTCTGTGCTTTCATGCACACCTGCTCCCCGACTGCACCGCCTCTGCGGAGAGCAAGAGAGCACGCCACCATCCCCACCGAAAAATAAAACAAAACAAAGATTTCTCTCTCTCTTCATAGGTCGTCTTCCCCAGCTGTCCTGCTGTCAGATCAGAGACGTGCTGCTGCTTCAGAAACTTTGATGATACATTAGGCTGAAATTGGATTTAAATTGATCCGTCTTTGTGGTGGTCACATTAATCATTCGTTTCCAGGTGAGATGAACCGGCGTGAGATCGCCAAGATTGTGGGCAAAGTCACTTCAGGGATCATAGAACAACTCCTGGGGAAGTAACTGCGTGCGGAGAGAGAGGGGGTGTGGGGTTATCTGATTTTTTGGCCCTTTGCGAGAATGTTAAAGAAACTGTATGTGCTGGAGTGAAACTTTGATTCCCAGCTTCCACTCTGACAAGTGAACAGAGCTGCTGTTCTGCTCTCTTTGCTCAGACGTTCGGTCACTGAAGCAACGCTTCTTTTCGGCGACCCGGAGCTTCTTGGGTTTTTTTTTTAATCAGCTCCCAGCGGTCAGTGAAACCCAAAATGGAAATATTCCCGTTATGTGAAACACATACCTCATGATGAGAGGCAGGGCCAGGCTCACCTTTCAGATTTTTTTAATTTTTCTTTTTTTTTCAGGCTGGAACAAAGGCGCAGAAGGAAAGAGGGAGGCGATGAAAGAACGCAGGGATAGAACAGAACGAGACAAAAACACCTTTGATACGCTGCAAAGGTTGTTACACTGGGAAAACCTAAACATTCCTCGCTCCGTATGTGGGTGGAATTACCACGCTGCCAGTACGGGAAGCTGGTATGTTAATTAGCTGCAGCTGTCACCCCTGACCCCCACTGCACCTGATGGGATAGGTGAGTCACCGGGCGCCGGTCCCGCACCCTAATGTTCGCCACATGTCTTCATCAACGCGGCCATAATTCACGCTGTTGGTATCAGCGGAACATGGACGTTCGCTCCTGCAGTTTTTCAGCTCTGTCTGGTTTCCCAGAGACACAAAGCTCGGTGGACGTTGCTCCAGGAGACACGTGGCAGCCGGCTACAGCTTGTGTGCTGCAGGTGAGGCCTCACCAAAGGGAGAGAGGCTCAGACAATCCAGATGTGACTGCAGGTGTCTGAGGAGGAAGAATCCGGATGCGGGTGCCCTCATGGGGCTGCACAATAGATCCACGTTCAACTTCTGTGTCCATCGTTCACCTAAATGGGAATGATCGTCCCACGCTTTACATGGGTGACAATGTAAAGGGATAGCTGCATATTTTTGACAGGAGGTTCTGTGACGTTCCCATCTGTGACCGTTCCTCTACCTGAAGTAGAATAAAGTTTCCTTCTGAACGATGAGGCATTGCTTCACCACCTCGTCGTTTTGGCCGTAGCCGGCTAACTCTGGAGCTAGTTAGCTTTTTATTTACCTTGTGGTAGATGACTTGGTATCACTGAACATGACCCAACCAGCATTGATACTTACGCCGCAGTTTAGGAAACCTTGTTTCAGATTGAAAAGTTGTAAAATGTAGAGTTTGTAGGGCAGCTTAGCAGTTTTGTTTTTATTTCTTCCAGTGGTTGATGATGTGTAACCCACTGGAAAGGTTCTGACCCAGCATTCTCAGTGACCATCCCTGCTGTAGCTTCTGAACAGCCTGTTTAAATTCAGCCAGTCCCCCTCCTTTTCCTCTGCTTCCACGCCTCTCGCAAAAATGATGTAGCCGGCTGCCATCTGTGTAAACAGGCACGGCGAGTTGGATCTGCAGCCTCTCATCTCGCTCTCACTGAAGCAACCCAGGAGCGTTCCCAGCTCTGCGTCTGAGTGGGGTGACAGTGGAGTGGAAGATGGGGGGAGAGAGGGGTGAAGAGAGGAAAAAGGAGGGAGGAGAGGAGTGAATGGATGAAATTATCCTCTTATTGGACCCTTAATGCTCTTTCACCCTGAAGCTTTACTAATCGGTCCAGAGATAAAACCCTTAAGATTATCCCGAAGGCAGGAAGAGGACCCTTGGTTTTAATTTCTGTGGATACGAGCGCAGACTTGACTCGGTTCTCATAGTACATGCGATGGGCTCGGGGGCCCACCAGTAGTTGGTT